GTATCTCAGACACTATAAGCAATAGGTCATCTATATTTAGTGTATGGAAATATTGTAATGTGTACATGTCCGGCTGACAGGATTCATCTGACCTTGACCTCATGTTCATGGTTTGTTGGTCAATGTTAAGTCTTTGTGGTTTGGTCTATTTTTCATATAATATGAGCTATAAGCAACAGGTTAACTATATTTGGTGTATGGAATGATAATAAGGTGTACGTGTCTGTCTGACAGGGTTAATCTGACCTGGACCTCATTTAAATGGTACATTGATCAATGTTAAGTTTTCATGGTTATGTCTAGTTCTCAGATACTATAAGTAATAGGTCAACTATAATTGGTGTATGGAATTATTGCATGGTGGACATGTTGTATGGCCGATTTAATCTGACCTTGACCTCATTTTATGGTTTTTTGGTCAATGTTAAGTTTACGTGATTAGGTCGGTTTCTCAAGTGCTATAAGCAATATACTTGGTGTATGGTATGATTATTTATATGGTGAACGTCTGGTAGGGTTCATCTAACCTTGTCCATATTTACAAGGATCATTGATAATACCTTCCGATATTACAGACTTTCAACAAAAGTTCAATCAAGATAAGTGAAGCAGGCGAGACATTTACGCGTGTGCATTATTGTTTAATTTTTCTTTTTTTTTTTCTTAAGGTTTTCAGTGCAATATGTTTTATGGACTTTGTCTTTTTTCTGGTCAAATTGTTATTCTGTCTTTCGAATATTAAGGACGAAAACATGTTACTATAATACAATTATGAACCCTGGTTTGCACTAAACCGACAGGCTGTGCCTGATTTTTAGTGTGCCTGTTCACAAGGTAACAGTCCGAAAGAACTCGTTATTCTGAGCTCTTTCTTCTGAATGCCGCTTGCTCAATGGAGAAGCAGTAAATACCAATTTTCAAGTTTGTTTTGACTTGATCGAGGGTCGGACCCACGATCTTTTGTAGTCGAGGCGAGCCCGTTACCCCTTCACTACCCAAATATCACCAAGGCATTATAATGATTTCAGAAAAGAAATTGTGGAATTTTGTTCAAGGCTTTCGCCATTATTTTAGTTTTAGAAGTACTTGACAATTGCTGTTAGCCCCTAAAATGTTATCTCCAGTTTCTACCTATATTATTAAAAATTTCGAGATCGTTGACAAAATAACAAAACAGAGTAAAAAAAATCTTCATAAGGGCAATAAATCGAATATGAAGTCGAATGGTTTCTATTATGTGGGTCTTGTATTTTTACTGTCAACATTTTCTATCTACTTCATAGGCGGATCCAGGGGGGGGGGGGGCCTGGGGGGCCCGGGCCCCCCCTTTCGTGGGAAAAATTTGGTTGATTATATTGGGAATCACTGAAGCATGACTGGAGCGCCCCCCCCCCCTTTAGGTCAGTCAGCGGAACCCCCCCTTTTAGGTCAGTCAGCGGAACCCCCCCCCCCCCCCCCCCTTATGAAAAGTTCTGGATCCGCCACTGTACTTATTGTAGTTTTCGAGATGATTGGCAAAAATACATAAATTAATCAAACAGATCATCATTTAAGGCAATAATAAGGGTTTAGAATTCATCCAATTGATTCGGTCAAATTGTCATTTTTGTAGATCTAGTAAGGCTGATCAATTTGACCGTTAAAGGTTTCTACCTATCGATTATAGTTTTCAAGTTAATAGACTTAAAGGAAACACAGAAAATTAGTAAAAGCTAGATATGGACGACGCCCCCCTCTACTCTGCCATATGCACGAGTATAGTTCCACATACTTTAGATTTGACAAACAGTGACGTTGGATGACAACTTGAAATTGTTGCGCTGTCTGTAAGACACAATATATGTTATTATACTTCATGTCAAAATGCCAGATTTTGATTGGTTAATACGAGGGAGATAATTTACTCTATCCCATGGCAAATACTCTATTACCCTTCACGGAGACGCTTGCTCAAGTGTGCGCTTTAATAAATACAGATGATTGGTATGTACAAGACGACATAGTTTATTACTTTGAATTTGAAATTTAATAGACAGTAATAACAGAACATTCAGTATAATAAATTAAATAACACATATCTGAGAGGGTGATAGAGCAGATTGTTACCCCTCGAAAAGACATTGTCAACCTTGGCTTCGTCCCGTCTTCTCGGGGTAACAATCTGCTCTATCACCCTCTCAGCTATTTGTTATTTATATAATGTCCCCGCCTGACCATAAGGAATTATAAATTTATCACTATGAATGATGATTTATCTTTTATTTTTATTCTGAGTACAAAAATGAATAACTAAGTCCAAAAATATGTGTACAAACAACCTACAAAATATTAAAGCTGTAGCTCAAAAACTGTAGGAGGAGATAGCCGGAAAATCTCTATATCTATGATCTTTTTATGCGGCTAGTACCAAAAAATGACTTAAGTCCAAATACCTGGCATTTTGAGAATATTTCAACGGGAAAAATCAAAATCCTGTGGACATGCACACCTCTATTTCGTGTAGAAACATCCTATACAAAACGGGCGGACAGGGGTAAATTAATATGCCCCTCGAAATTTTGACGCGGGGGCATAAAAAAGTCATTTAAGGGCAATGACTCCCTAAAACAACATAACTGAATATAAGATACCCTTTGTATCATACATGCCAAGTTTGGTTGAAATTGGTCTTGTAGATTGGATTGGATGCCAAGTGAGAGCAGTAGCTCACCTGGGCCATATAGTGTCAGGTGAGCTACAAATGGAGTTCTGTTATAAATTTTTCTGACTATTTTTATGAAGACGAGCAGATTCACAAGGGCATCATTATTTTTATTATTTTGATAACGGGAAGGAATTTAAAAAAAAAACCTTCAAAATTTTTTTTTTCTTCTTCTTCAATTTGTATATAGTTCTTTAAATGAAGATGTACAAATCATAATGTTTGTCTTTTTTTTCAATTTTTTCGTCTTTTGAGTTTAATCTCTTTAAACTGTTATAGAAAAACATCTGTAAATGTATATGATTTACGACCGAAAACGGATGAATTTGAATAGCGTTGTAGATCTTATTCAATCCGGCTGATTAAAATCAGATTTTTCACTCTGCTTGACTAGATATATTTGTCACGGTGGGTAAAACGACAAACACGAGACAAATAAATCTAATAGAGCAGAATGAATGATCTGGTTTTAATCATATTGTTTTTTTTTTTTTCATTTTGTTTATACTTACACAATGGGCATAAAATGGTTATATATTCGTCTGAGAAATATCAATGACATCCCGCAAGGGATATTAATTCTGTTTGGCTGGTGGGTGCATACTGAATACGCAACTGCACGTCAGTGACACGCTCTCTGACCGTACGTTACACGACCGTTTTAATAACTCTTTGAGAGTCAATTAAAAGACAAAATGAATGGGTTTTTTTCCAGTGGCTTTCCAAATTTCCCGACCTTCATCTCGATCGACCCCCTTTGCAGAGCCTTCAAGTTTTTTGTTTGTTTTTCTTGTCCTGAAGTGTTTGCAACTGGACGTTGAGCATACAACAGCAAATCAATCAATCCAAACATAATCAAAATATTACTGCATATTACTTTTGTACATATATCATAATGATTTCTTTGATGTTAAATAGTATTTATCGGTTGGTTGATTGGTATTTGCCTAACGTCCAGTGGCAATGGAAGTTATACGTTTATCTTGTCTTCTTAAGGGTATTTAAACAATAAAGACTGGATAAAAGAAAAATCGAAAAGATATTAGGGAAATGTACATTTGCGGCATTGTTCCCGCGCAATAAAATATTCAGTTCACCGTGGCACTCCTGTACCCCCTCCCCCCCCCCCCCCCCCCCCCCCCCCCCCCCCCCCCCCCGAAATACAAAACTGGTCTTCCCCTTCTTATTTTCATTGTAATATATAAATGGGACACCAATTTGATTGAAAATGTCTATTGGCTTAACTTTTAAGAATATCATATCAAGGATTAATCATTGTTCCGAGATGGATCACCGAGCTTATGATAAATGCTCTTCTGCATGTAATAAGTGGCGATTTTTAATATATATGACACCCACATGATTAAGTAATAATTTATATTGACAATTATAACGGATTAACGGGTGTTTAACAACTTCTATGCGGCGGGGTTAAACATGTTTTGTGAGATCTCAACCCTCCCCCTATACCTCTGATCACCTCTAGCCAATGTAGAATAATCATTAAAGATTAAAAATAATATTTTACCGAGTTCCATAGATAAACAACACTTTTATTTAAAGGAGGAACGGACGGGTAGACAGGAGGAAACCATTATATTAGTCATTATATAAATCAAAGTGAAATAATGATATCAGGAAAAGTAACGATGTTTTATTGATCACAAGTCTGCTACCAATAATTATGCACACTTCAAGTTAGAATTTCGAATTTTTCATTTTTGTAACTTTTTGCATGGACATGATGGGCTGGCTCATATATTATCTTTATTTTTTTAATAATGCTGACGGTGGCTTAATTAAGATCGAAAATTAAGGTGATTGTTTATACATGATTAACAAAATTATTTGTGTCTCTCAATTACAGAAATCATTGTAATGTTATAAATTACTTTACTTTGTAGCCCTTTAAATTAATAATTGGAATAACAATATATCTTTTGTATATTTTAATCAGAAGCATATAATACACTATAAGATACAAAACTTGACCGTTTTCAAATTAAATTTAACCCCCCCCCCCCCCCCAAAAAAAAACGTGACACACAAACACACATATCTGACAACTAATTGATTAAGGGCACCTGTTCGAGAGGTGGCGCTTTTCAATTCAATATAGGTCAAAGTTCGCTAGTCACTTTGGATTAATTTCATGGCTGATATTGCGTTATTAGTTGATGTTTATCAATAAAACAATCTTTCTTCCAGTACTTCTAATTAAAATGATAATGATGCTGTTGTTTTCTTTGATAGTTTCTTATATGAAAGCTAAACTATAACATGACATTTCTGTTTCTAATTATTACCGCCATACTTGCAGTATCATGACGTCACTCATCTGTGTATTTTTAACATGTGGGATGTCAAAACAAAAATTCCTCAGTCGTGCAGGCTACTCATAATTGTTGAGGTGAAGAAAAAGTAGGAAATGTAAGTGTCAAAGTTTTCAATTCAATTTTCTTTACTAAAAGTTTCATTTATGTTCAAGAAAAGAGAGTTTAGTAATAGCATTGTGCAAGTGACTAAACTGTAAACAAAATGGATGTCCCTCCCTGTCAACACAGACAGTCACCTGGATAATACCTGTCTGGCAAATTTATGATGGTAAACATGTTGTGGGATTATTTCTAGTAGTTGTATTAAGACATCCATGATTGAAAGCTATTGTTTATTTGCTCTATACTATTTAAAAATGACAAAACATGTCCATGACAGAAAAGGGGGGAAGTTAACGTATGTAAAATAACATAGAACTATATTCTGTAGAAATAGCAAAGATGCAATAGATTTACAGTCAGATGAGAAATATTTCTGCATTGAAAACCAATTTATTATTATAATGTAATGGTGTTCAATGGCAAAATGTCATCAAGTGACATGTATTTACTATTACAGTATGTCCGAGCCATAATAAGCATCCAAGATTGGCTAGTAGAAAATCTGGCTAATATCATGTGTGTAACATCGTTCCCAGGCTCCCAGCAGTCCTTCACAAGATTGCTAAAAAACCATGTGTAACCAGAGTTGCAGAGACAACATAAACAATCTATTTGAACATCTTGTACATTTTGCTTGTATTTAATAATTTGTAGTCCAAATGCCTTCTTGAAAGGCTATTTTATTTTTATGCTGTGACTTCACAAGACTTTCAAGACTTCTTAATTATTTGAACTACTTGTATTTGTTGAGAGGGACATCATTTGTATATTTATGAGTTTATGATCATGTCTTTAAAGCATTTATTAATCTGTTGATTGTAGGGTCCCATGATGAGGTGCTTATTGAAAGTTACTAATCTTTTGATTAGAGGGCCCAAATACTTTAAATTACAAGTGGTAGGTTTTTTTTAAATAACTGGTATTGTCAAAAATGTCATTTAATAGGGACCAGCTGCTGAACCGTAGCTCCTAAGTCCTTATGATATTTTTTTTACAATTTGGGGATCAAAGACCGTAATTTGTCAAAAAAATGTCATAACTTGATATAAGGACCTAAAAGCTACAGTTCCGCAGCTAATTAGGGACCGGCGACTCTTCACAAAAAATCTTAGGATTAAAATTGATCGTAAGTTATACTGAAATGTGTATGACTTACAAGTATTTTTACTCTTAAGATTTTTTGTGAAAAGAGTCGCTGCTTCATCCAAGTTAACTTTTGTCAAATATCGTCGATGATTGCAAGCTCGTCGTGACATTTGGGGATTTCCACTTTATTTGTGACGTCATGCATAAGTATTTATCATCGGCAACGTGCTACTTCAAAAAAACTTAACCGGATATTTTGCATTGCATTTCTACTAATTTCTACTAATATCGGCTTGAAAAAGCGAAGTTGTGTATGTTCTTGGATATCAGTTGTTTAAACGTCTAATTCCACTATGACTGTTTTACTCCTATCCTAGAATTTCGTTGAATTCTTGGGAAAATCCTTTCAGCAATGTTTTGGACATCTCAACAATGAGTCATCATCTATTTTTAGGTTATGTGGCGCTCTTTTTCTTTTTTTAAGGCCAAGGGTATTATTTTTCAAAGTTTGTATGTGAGCGGATTTTTTAAGATCAGAAAATGATTTGATTTATTTTGATAAAACAAAACCTATGGAATATTGGCTTGCAAAATAAATTTAATTATATGGTATTGAGTGCAAATTGAATGAAAAAATACTTTGATGCATTAATCACATTGTGACATCGTTGTAGTTATCTTAAATGTGTTTAAATTGTTTAATTCTGGACTTTCTAATTGACCATTGAAAATCACATGTAAAAATTGGAATATTTGTTGTAGGGAGAATACAAAAGTTAGTATGCCCCAATTTCTCTTTTTTTTTCGAGATATTCATTTGTTATTTGATCTCAAATTTATTATGTAATGCTCAAATACATAATACAATAGGCCTGACTTATATATTGTTGCACATGCTCAAAAGTCAACGTCCGAGTTAAAGGTCACAAACTTACAAGCATGTCTACTTATTTTACGGAATCAGGTCACAATACAAAACATAGACAGATTGACCATGTCTCTGAAGCTATTCATCAATAAATTGTATCAGACTGTTTGCAAATAAGTAAAGAATATTTACATTCACAGTGGATAATAGTTGCTCCAAGGTTGTGATTTTTTTCTTCCATTTCGAGTTAGGGTAACGAACTTCCAATCATCGAGGATAATTGTAGGTGTGCTTCCTTGTTGTCCTTTTCACAATGTCCAATGAAGTCAGGACTTTTTTAACAGACTACAAATTTGATAATAAGATTGAAAAATATATATTGTTTAGAGAATACGCAGTGTCAAGAGGTAAATTGTGAGATTAAATAGACCTTATCACTATTTGGAAATCTTAGCCTCTTGAACTATTGACGTCATACAACAATCACTTCCATTATGGCGTCAGATATTTTCTATTATGACGTCAAAATTTTATGGTAACCTTTGTGATTTCCAGTAATGGCAGACAAATAGCGATAAGGTGTATTACACTCAACAATTTTCTTACTTACAAGAATAAAATAAAAGAATGATATACTTGATAATCTCAATTAAGACAAAAAATCTTCAAGATTAAATTAATTTATATGACTCATATTAAGCATCTTTACAAGTGTTAAGCTGGTACCTGAATTAGCTGCGGAAATGTAGCTCTTATGATAATCTTTGATAATTTGTTCTGGTGAAGTCTTGAGCACATACATGGTATTTACAGCTTCATAAAGCAGTAGAGATGTGTTTCCAATCTCAGGTACTATATATTTCTAGTGTACATGGTGTAGACTAAGTGTTCTGTCTGCATGATTTCTATGTTGTTCAATGTTGGCTAGTTATTCTTGACTTCTGTCCATCATGTCCATATAAGTTCTTTCATTCAACCTTAGGTAAACGAAATGGACAGACAGGTCTAAGGCAAAAAATTCTGGACTTGGAACTGAAAATGTATCTAAAATTTGCCCAGTACTAAGTCGTCATTCAGGGAATTTGTATTTAGGCTCAAATTTGTGGTATTTCTGTCATTCCAAAACCCTTGATATGTATTAGAAAACCAAGCTTAAAAGAATTGCTGAATATCCAGTTATATTAAACTGGGATAATCTGGTAATTTTATTTGTACAAGGCTTAGAAACAGGTGGATAGTGAGGCTTTGCTGAGTATTTCTATCCTGTTTTAAGATAGTACAAATAAAATTTATATTTTGAGACAATGTATGGTTATTCTTTATATACTGCAACTCCTATAACTGTTCCAAATGAAATATTTAGAGTAAAAACCATCATTTTTTAATTTGGATGAAGTAAAATTTTCGTGAACCTGTATTGTTTATTGACCGTCATAAATAAAACTCTATGGAAACACATTGTCAACGTCATAAACAAGGCGATATATGGTCAATGCAATTTGACTGCAAATAGCACAGCTGCAGTATTTATATATATATTACACCTTTTACAATAGTCTTTATTAAAACTCATATATGTATTTAATTTATGACAAAAAAATTAAAACTTAATCAGTCTCAAAACTACTGATTTTATCATTTTCCAAAGTTTATCTCATATAATGTTAAAACTCAAAAGTTTATTCTGAGAAAAGGGTGATGCTGGAAATCCACAGGTGGTGCTATAAAATTAAGGGTGGAGGAGAACCACCCCTAAATAAAATAGCCTGTGTTGATTCCTGGTGCTATAAATCGGTATCTATATGCTAACAAAAATCTGACAGGTATAAAAATCAAGTTCATGTACACAGTAAAAATCATGTGTGATTGTCTAGAGGGCATTTGAATCCATGGCAGTAAGATTAACTTTAAATTCAAGATGTTGGGTAAAAATAACAGCTTCCAAAGTTTTCTAAAAATTGAAATAATTTATAGGTCCATGACTTATAGATAATGATCAATACTTACACATGTTAAAAGCATTTATGAGTAAAAAGATTAATTTAAATAGCTAGTTTTAAAAGTAAATCAACATTATAAAACAAATTGATTCAATATTTACATTAAGATGACAAATATTGTTTCTTATATGTGAAGTAGGATCAAATAGAACTAGTTTTCATGTTAAATGTAAACAAACTATATCTTCTAATAGTTCTATTTAAAAGCCAATAATTTATATACACAATCTACCACAAAATGAAGTCTATATACATGTACTATTTGTAAAGCTGGATTCATAATATTTATAAGAAAAAAATTTAGTTCAATAATCAGTGTTATTTTTATGTCCTGTCATTTCCTTTGCTGTCATACATCATACATGGAAATAACATTTTAATTATTTTTGTTTTGTAAAAAACTTATTGTGTCAGAGAACTTAGAAAGAAAGTTGATAAATTTGTAAATAATGTTTTAAAAAATGGTTTAGCAACCCAGATCTTTGGAACTTCATAGAAAGTTTGCAAATAAAACCTATTGATGTTGTGCACCTTCAGATTTTTTCCTATTGTATATTTCCTTATATTTAAATGTTTAGTATAGTCTATTTTCCATTGTATATGAAACATTCTTCGAAAACCCAGTCATTTGAGTCTTTGATCCATTTTAACAAGTATAATCTATTAATCCCACTTTAATTTAATGAAAAACATATCGTGTTCAAAAGTCTTCACACTTTAGTGTAATCCCAGGATATTTAAAAACTTTTTATCCAGAATATTTTTTATGATATTCCATTACAGAAATATTATAAGTTCTATGGAGGCTTAAAAGTGAAAAGTCTTTCACAAGTGAAAGTATCCCAAGGATGACTGGGGTATAGAATAGAAATATGGTCATCAGGGTCTTCCTCTGTCCGATAGTAAAACCCTTGCCAAGATGTCAGAGGCCTCAGGTTGTGTGGAATGTATAAATTTGCCTCAACATCCAGTTAGAATGGGGACATTTAATTGGATGCTTTGGCTTAGAGAGTGCATGTGTATTAATAGTTTCTCAACCTGATTATGCTTGAAATAATTGCCACTGGACAATGAGTAAGCAACAATAACATCAATCCCATGTGAGAGTTTTTAAAGGTGCTGTATACTGATATTTCACTGTCATTTAGTCTAGTGGACATCATTATTTATTGTTAGTGGTCCAAACAAAACTTCACTGGCCAATCTATTATTAATTTATCACATAAAAGAAATTTCTCAAAATTAACAGTTGCTATTTGAATTTCAAAATTTGTATTATCCTTTATGTATCAAAAATGCATACAGGCACGACGTACCCCTTGTGTCAACAGTTTATTGTATTTATTTCTTTTGTTTTCCAAGAAGTGTCCACCTTTTTTGTTAAAGTACCAATCTTGTAGGTAATATTAATTTGCCATTTGAAAGAACAATTATAATGTCTTGTTAATTAATTTATTTAATTTCCTTTCAGAACAAATATTTTTAGTTCAGAGAATGTAACTGAGTCTGCAGAATGAAGTCTAATAATATGTTTCGTGATCACATGAACTCTATCTACAGTTGGTTTGAAAGTTGGAGTGAATGTGAACAAACTGTAGCATTATATTCTCTGTTAATGAGAGCTACGACAACACAGTGTCGATTCCTGTCACAAGTGCTATCCCAGAGGAATTATAGTGATATCCTAGAGTTGGAGAAAGAAGCTAACCAATCAGGTACTATTAAAACAGAAAAGTTTAATTGCACTTAAAAGAAAAGTCATGATCACTGACAAAAATTGTTATCAGTCATTTTGCTTTGCAAATTAACTGACATTTTTCTTATACATGTACATATTTGTCTTATGAAATTATAACATAACTGACCATATGATTGCTAAAATTGACCAGGACTTGGTTGCAAAAAAAATATATTTAAACGTCACGTTTAAATTTTGGACTGAGAATTAGAAAAACTCTAAAGTTGTTTAACTCTTGTAACCCATTTTCAAATAATGTTAACAAGAACAACTTTGACCACCTCCCAGTTGGAATATGAAACTTGAAAAGACACTTTGACTCCAACCTTCAAAAATTTATTTGGGAGATTTATTGGTGACAATTTTCTTTTTTTTTTGAGCTTTTATAATAATTGAATTATTTATTGCTTTCAAACATAAGTTTGCTGTAAAGGGCTGTTCAAAAATTTATGTTGTGCCGGTGGGGGATGAGAGGCACTCAAATTAATTAAATACATTTTTTTTTTAATTTTGAAAGAAAAGTAAAATGAGAATTTTTATTTTATGGGAGATCAGGGTATTAAAAAAGTGCTTCCCTCTCCTACCCAAGTGTTTAATTCTGCAACTGTTGTAAGGTAAATTTATGTTTACTGTTTACTTTGGAATGTTTGTTCAAAATCAAATATTGCTTTTAATATTCAATACTAAGAAAAATTCTGTCTGTTTCAGCTTATATTCACAATTTGTGTAATGAAAGTAAAGAAAGTGCTATATCTAAACTGTTGGCCCACTGGCCACTGCTTCATACAGGTAACAATGATGCCAAAAAGGAATACTTAAGACTGATTCCTATAATCTTGTCATATTCAAAGGAAAATGGAAGTCATATCGAAGACACTAGACAATTATTGTCATATTCATTGATTCATCCAGCATGCACTAGTGAGGAACGGTCACAGTTCACCATGTGGATCGGTCAGTTGGAGGAGATATTTACATATGGAATCCAACAACAACAACAACAAAATAGTGAAAAATCTAGTGACACAAACTGTTGGCAAGAAAAACATAGTGAAGAAAACCATCATACGCCTTTACATGCTACCTATTCTGCTCCTGCTAGATATCCTACAAAACCTCCATGTAAGTGTCTCTGACATGTGTTTAATTCTGACAGTCCTTGGTATAGTCTAGTCACATCAGTATCAGCATGACAATGTTGACTGTAGATACAAAATTAAAGTTCAATGTTGGAGAACTGTTTGTCTCCTAGAAGATTTCTTATTTAATATTAATATTAGATGACACATATCATGAGCAACCAAACTTGCAATTTCCCCTTCTTGTAAAGAAAAATACTGGGTAAGCAAGTAGGTTACAAAAAGTTATAATTTTATACTATTGTTCATGCTAAAAATTCTGAACAGTAAATCTTTAAAAAGAAAAATAATAATAGAAATTATACATTTTTACAGCTCATAGTGCAACAATGCTAACCAAAACCAGAAGCAACATTTACCATGTATACAAAACTTGTCACTGAAAAGATTGAATTTTCTTTTTAAGGATGTTCAGTACTCTGTTTCAAAGTAACAAGCTTTTTAAACAACTGTTATAAATTGGTAGTATATAAATAAAGGAACTATAAAAGCAGAAAAAATTAAGGGTCCGTGTGATTGTTTTTGAGATATAAGCCATTGAAAATTTGGCGGGAAATGATTCTCTCTGGATTTTTCATACAATTCACATTGGCACCTTTTTTCTTTCAAAAACTATGAAAAAATAACAAGGATTTTATAAGATTTTCATAGGTGGCATTTTAAACTATATGTAATCAAATTATGAAAAGAAAAGTAGGCGTTAGTGGGCAATTTTTTTATGGCACTTCATGGATAAAACCAGAGGATTCCGAATATCTGACAAAAAGTAAAAAACAAGAGTAGCCAGGGCTTCCAAAACGGTCATATATTCCGGACTTGACCGAAACTTTCATAAAAAGACCGGCTGCTCTCAGCCTCAAACGGTCAAATAGAATTGGTGTGCCACATTTTGTTATTCAAGGCATTTTCATGAAACGGTCATTTCAATTTTTACCAACTATCGATCGATAAAAATGTCCGTTTGGGGCTTTGGGCATGTCCGTTTGGGCATTTTAGTTTATAATTGTGGCAATCTATTTCACAAAGATATTTCGGTCATAATTGGGTTTAATAAAACAGAAGCAGCATATTTCAGATACTTTGAAGTGTCTCAGTTAGTCTAATCCTCTGGGTACATAAATGTACGGCTTGGTCTTTAGCTTGTGTACATCAATAAAAAGTAGAAAAAACACGTTTTCTTTTATTTAAATAACAACAAGCTGTCAAACAATTATCCCTTCAATAAGTTATATTGAAGCCATAAATCATTCACTGATTACAGGTTTGTTACCTTTGATGAGGTGTCCTTAGCTTGTCTTTATCAATAGAATTAATGATGCATAACAATGTACATAAAGGTAATCAGGTAAACGAGGTCAAACATGTAAGCGTGTATGGAACAACATCCTATTTAATTACGCTTTATAGATACTATTTCAAATGAGCATTCAGTTTAAAAAAGTATCCTGATATTTAAAAGTTATTCTTCAAATAAGGATATTTGTAAATGAATAAGTATGATATATATTATTTTATTTAACACTGTACATCGTGTTAAATACTGGGGTACTCTCAAGGGGAAAATTTACTAAAATATATAGGAAAAACTATACCAAGCTGAGTTGTCCAATAAATAAGGGGGCGTTCTCTATTCTTGTTTTCATATTAAAAACTGTTTTTATAATTAAAATCATAAAGAATAATATCCAATCATGACAATCTCCGACTGTTATAAAGACTTTGTCTCAAATTGAACTTTACAAATCTGCCATCATGGGCAAACGTAAACGTGACGATTCCGATCAAAATTCGAAGTCTGCTAAACATGCTAGAAGCTTTATTCATAAATGGTTACAACGTGGGAATTATGATCGACGAGTCAACTGATCTGGCTACGCAAAAACATTTAATTTTGTACTTATCATTGTACAAAGAAAAATGTTATCACTGTTCAGTAGATTTTACACGGTTTAAAACAATATCCTTCATTGGGCCTCCTCAATGTTATCTATAAATACCGCATCAGTTGTAAAAGTCACGTGGTCAGGTAATCAATACACAAAAAGAAAAGTATCACGTGTATTGATGATCAAGTTGTACTGCAATTAAAGCCAACATCAACAGTTTCAAATAAGATGGCCTTAATTTACAAAGTGTTAAGTACTCACAGAGAGAAGATAGATTATATAAACAGAAAAAAAACATGAGAACAGTCAGGTACTGAAGCTGATTGATGCAATGATGGTTACTGTATTACGATACACAGAAAAATGACACAATACCGAGGATAATATTTTATTTATTTTTAGAATGAAGAAAACAAAACAGTTATAAATAATTTTATTGCATATAACACTACTAATTATTTAGACACATATATCAATTTATGCATCCTCTCAGTTACATTTAAGTATCCAGCTGATCATTGACCGTCAAAAATATTTCTTTGAAAAATGTCCGGCTGTCGTCAGGAAATTTTGGAAGCCCTGAGAGTAGCAATCATCCTTAATTAGTATCTTACTGTGTAATCAACTATATTGTACTACTACTGTTCAGTCATTTTGTTTCAGGCTTGAAAAAGGAAACAAGTTCTATTAGATAATCAATAAACTAATTACTTGTTGTTGTTGTTTCAGTAACTCGTACTCATGCACAATTAACCAGAACAACATCTTTAGTTCCTCCACCTTCCACATTAAATGTTTCTATCAATGAATGGTTATCATCGAGTGACACACAGATAAACCGTATAGAGCATGCCCCATTATCTCCACAAAGTAGTATCACGTCATCTGGTAGTAGTAGTGACACACATCAGGAAGATGGCCCACAACCTACTCGCAACAGTTTTCTGGAAGGTCGAAGTGGTATGAGAGGTGAGTATCATGTCATACGGTGAATGAAGCTTAACCTTTGTAAACAGGTTTTCTTAAGTGATTTACACTACAGCTAAGATAGATATAATTGCTCCTACATTTTACATGGTTGGAATAGGCACAAAGTGGGCAAAACTTGTAGATAGTCGACTCTACATGTACCTACTCTTTGCAACTGCAATTAATTCCCACTTGGCATGCTTGGGAATGCCATTTCTTTTCTTACATTATATCAAAGAATTGAACATACAATACCATGGAAAAAGGATTAATTCATTTAAACTTTTGAATAACATTTACAAAATATAAGGTTAAAGTTTAGGGGACCCAGATTAGATATGAATAAAAGTACCGGTAAATATGGGATATACATGCAGGTTAATGAGAAAGCAATCCATGATATTAAAAACATCTAGAAGTCAACAGACAGTTCCCAACAAGCTACAAAGGTCAAAACAAAATGCCAATCTCTTAATCACCAAGACATAAATTTTGGATGATAGTAAAGGAAAATACATTTGTAAGTCATTCATAAAATTATATGAAAATTGACACTACAAAATTATCACATAGGATTTATCAAATTCAAGCAGAAAACATTCAGTTCTATTGTCAAAAGAATATTGACCAAAGCCTACAAGGGCTGTTCCATTTAAACATAAAGTAGACCCAGTGAAGGCACTACATAATCTCAATTATGGGTGTGTGTCTTGACAAATTCTTTTTGTACTATAAAAATGCCAAATTCTAAATTTGCCTCTTTAGGTGGTAACCCCTTTTAAAAGTAACTTTTGTGAGTACCATGTATGTTTTTATGGAAAACCCTAATATTGAACTCTGGTAATTATGTTTTAAACACTAAAACACTAAAGTTTTGCCACAGACAGTCACAAGAATTAGCAATTAAAAGGGAAATGTATTATATTTCTTGTTTTAGATGTTCCCATGTGGTTGAAGTCTTTACGGTTACACAAATATGCCTATCTTTTCCAACAAATGACATACGAAGAAATGATGAATTTGACAGAGGAATGGCTGGAAACTCAGGTAAAACTTTTAAAACAAATAAAAGTCCCAAGTTCATAGGTGAGAAGTTAATAAGTATTCTAATCAACATCAGTGATCACACATAGCTAATATCCAGGAAAGGAAACAAAATGTAGCTTAGGCATAATATTTTGACTTTTTATAGCTTGGTTCGTAAATGTACTAGTATAGTTTGTTTTTAGGAACGTAGAATTCAAATTTTAAAAGCACAAGAATGTAAAATGAAATAAGTTGTTAGCTCTGCTCAAAGATGGATCAATCGTTTGAAGTAACATGAGTAATAAGTTGAGATTATACATGTAGGACCTTTTATAACTCATGTTGGAATGCACTGTGAATTGTAACATGACTTTTTTCAGAATGTTACCAAAGGTGCTAGAAACAAGATTGTACTGAGTATAACCAAGTTACAGGAAAGACAGGCTAGATTGAGAGATATGGAAAAGGTATAGAATAAAATTGGAATTTTGAACAGTTTGATTTACTTCTCAAATAGTTATTGAAATGCATATTATTTAAGTACCTGTAGGTTTAATATATTTTTCCATTGCATTGCTGATTTTGGTGTATATCAAATATTATCACACATTTTGTTCTAATATGTACGTTTTTGCATGGCCAATAATAGCTGGAAGTCAAGGTTGGTTATTTGCCCTCAGGGCCAATATCGATATCAGCCCCCAAAATACATATCATGCCCCCGAATTTGACTTCCGGTAACCTGTCAATCAAAAACTATTTGTAAACAAGATGGAATTTGAAGTAGAGGATCATATGTCCATGTTTTAATTTATGCAAACTTCTCATCATTGCTGTATCTCTTTAAAATAAAACGCCGAAGATTAAACTGTAATTTTTTTTCTTCAATGGCTCCCAAATGTGACGGTTATTAGGGTGTGACGTCATATATCGAATGACGTTATTGTTGGGCATGCGAAGTCACAGACGTGGAGTACACGAAATGCAACCTTGAAAAACTACTGACAGCAAGAGGGTTAATGAAGTCTGTAAAACAATAGAAAGTTATGAATCTGATGTAGCAGAAAAAAAATGCAAAAATCAACAGTGGAAATAGTTCCAGGTTTTCCATTCTTCCTCACGCATCAACAAAAATGTAACAATAATATGTATAACTCTGAGAATTAATGTTTATTGTTTTAAAAAATTATTTGTTAAACTTTCCACAAAACTTAGTTTACTTGCTGTGATACGAATTTTAGTAACTCACTGTGATACATTTTTAAAATTTGTTTTCTTCAAATGTTTTTCGAATTTTTGTTGCAAATATTAAACATAATTTGATATATGCTTTCATTTTTCTCCAGCTTGAAAATAGGTGATAAATAGATTATTACATGGCATTTTCCAAATTGGCCCTGGTATCAGCCCTCGACCCATATCATGCCCTCTGGCTTGATATTGGAGTCTAGGGCCAATATGGAAAATGTCATGTAATAATCTATAAAGAAATAGGACATTTCAAGTCAAAATAAGTGAATGTAATTGTTTCACTTATATGGATCTTGAAATAATTGAAACCCATCTGAGTAGGAATATTTGACTATAAAGTATTAATTTTGACGATAAAGATAGAAAAAATCATTTATTTATTCACATATAAACCAGATGACAACTATTTTAACATTGAATTCCAATATGCCAAATTTATAATACAGTAAAACTAAATGCCAAAACTTAACAACTACTAGCAAAAAAAATATCTATACTAAAAATGTCCAGATTTACAGGATCCTGGATAAAAAAGCATAAGTTAGATGAATGATTACTTCTGTTTTTTACGATTTCATGTATGTTCACACTTGACTTGATCCTTCTTTTTTTTATTTTTCAGGAAATAATGGATGGTGCATCTTTGATAGAAGCTTTAAATGAAATGAAATCCATGTTAAACAGTCCTCTGAAAGGATTTAATCAACAATCTGAAAGTGACAATTCTATAGCTGAAAATGACATTCCTTCCCAGTTTACAAGGACAATGGGAAAAGGTTGGGATTCAGAATTTAGTCATCAATGAATCCACTGAGTTTTTTTTTCTGTATTGTTGAATGAAAATGCAAAGGCATTTTAGATTAACATTATAAAATTAGGATATGTGGTATGATTGCTAATGAGACAACTATTCAACACAGACCAAATGACATAGATGTTAGTAACTGTATGAATGTTCAATAAATCTAGTGAACACATATAAACTGATATTTCTACCTATTTTTCAGTTTGTACACAGCTGTCTGTCTGTAGTCAGCCAGATGACCAGAGTTGTAATTTGTACATGATACTGATTGAAAAATGTATCAACCATGAAGTAAGTATAGTAGACACCACATATCCACATAATGATTAATTGCATAATTTAGTAATTTGCATACATTTTCTTCTGCACAAAGTCTTTTGTTATTCTGTCAATTGGCTTTTCAGTTAATTGCATATAAAATATATTTTAATAAGAATTGTACGATTTTTGAGCCAGAAATGACAATATCAATGCAAGAACCTTTTGTTAAAAGACCAAGTCGTCATTCTTGCATGCATTAATATTTAACGCCCAGTCTAAGATAGAACCATGCAGCGAGTCCACATGACATGTCAACCAAATGTAATGAAATTTTGCACGCATGTTACGATAGTCAATAGAAAAGAAAGCTAACTTTAAAATTGATATGATGCTATTTTTAGATTTTGTCAGGGCCATCTATTGTAAAAGGATTATTTTTCAAAAAAGTCCACTAAAATGTCACATCTTTGTTGCTATGAATATGCTAGATATGGTTGTGTTAGCTGGTATTTGAATTGATTTTTACAAAAAGCATTATTAAAAGTGTTTTTTCTCATATTTATATAACACCATGTTAATTTATTTCTGTGAATTGTGTAAAGGTAAATTTGTTTCCCCTGTTCCATTTAAAGCTGTGAGGTCATAGATATGTCTAAACTTCTAATTATTATAAAAACTTACCCACATAGGTGAAATTTATGAGAAGCAGAGTTCACAAAGAAGGAAATTGGAAACCATGCAATTAACTAACTGGGTTAACTGATATTGGTAAATAAACTTTATACAATCCTAAGACCAATTATCTTCCTATTTATTGTTTGAAGAGAACATGGGAACGGAGCAAGATATAAGGAAAGACCCTTATAGTTAGTACAAACTAATGTAGTGAAGTTGGTTGATGAACTATTTTGGGATTTGCATCTAATTTGAATGTTGATTTACTATGAGCAATACGCAAAAAATGAAGTGTGTGGGTTTTTTTTTATATATATAATTTTTATCAATTCAACATTTTGTTATTTTCAGGCTTTCACTGACAAACAGAAGAAGTTACTTGCTTCATGGAAATTACAATTGCAGAGAGTTTGGCAACCTCAAGGTTATAGTAAATATGGTCATGATAGAAGAAAAATAGGGTATGTTTACTGGACTATTGATAGAATCAAGCACTTAAATTCTAGGTCAACAATTCAAATCATGTTACAGCACAATGAATGGAGTTTGTAGGTAAAGGTTATATCTTTGGTAAGCTTGCTTGCTAGCTGAACCATGAAATCATTATAAGTTAAGGTACCCCTTCCTGTGGACTGAGTCAGTTATTATAGTGCATAAACATTGTGAAACCAGTTAAGAAATGTGTTTTCAATCTAAATTTAAAATATAGTGTCAATTATAAGCGAATTCACAAGCCTGTTGAAGGTGTGTTTGATTAGTAGGTTTTATTTTAATCAGAACAATACAATACCAATTTTACAATAGCATAGTGAGAGATGCATTTAAAGATTTTACCTGACTAAGTTTATTTTTACACCTTCTGTAGCATTGCCCCCCAAAAAATACACATCAAAATCAAAGATAATGATATCCTTATTATATATATAAACATATATAATAAGGATATGAAAAGTTGTTTTTTTAAATCGATTAAATCATAATGTTATATAGAATTACACATGTAAACAATCGAGTTATAAATGGACAGAAGTAATTGATTGAAATGAAATTGACAAATCAAACACACCCTTCAACCTGAAAACATATTTTTGAACTAACTTGTACAATTGGTTTCACAATATTTATATACTGTTTCTACTGTTGATTGGTTCCCTGCTTAACTATTGACTCCGCCCTAAAGAAGGTGGTACCTTAGCTAGTAATGATTTCATGGTTCAGCTAGCAAGTAAGCTAGCCAAAGATACTACCTTTACCTACGTATCTAAGTCAATGTGCTGTATTATTATTGTCATACACCCTGTTGTTGAAGCTTACTTGATAGGAAAATGTAATCTTAGCATTGTATGTGCATTTACTTTTCATCAGGCTGTTCATAGAATTTTTAAAAAGACATACATGCATTAAAATAATGAAAAAATGTGTGGCACTAAAATTTAATGAATGATGTCAAAATAGGAGAACCCAAATATTGTAATAAAGCTGAAGTAAACAGTAATTCTATACATTTTTAGCTCACCTTTCCAAAGGAAATGTGAGCTTTTGCCATCACTTGGCATCCGTCGTCGTCCGTCCGGTGTAAACTATTTCAAACATCTCCCCTGAAACTACTGAACCAATTTCAACCAAACTTAAGCTGAATGATCCTTAGGGTATCTAGAATTAAGTTTGTGTGTTATTTTCTGTTTCATCAAGAAACATGGCCCCATGGCTAAAAATAGAACATACAGGTAAAATGCAGTTTTTGGCTTATATCTCAAAAACTAAAGTATTTAGAGCAAATCTGGCTGGGTAGAAATGTTCATTAGGTGAAGTTCTATCAGCCCCGAAATTTTCAGATGAATCTTAACAACCCATTGTTGGGTTGCTGCCACTAAATTGGTAATTTTGAGGAAATTTTGCAGTTTTCTGTTATTATCTTGAATATTATTATAGATAAAGATAAACTGTAAACAGCAAAAATGGTCAGCAAAGTAAGATCTACAAATAAGTTTTTTAATGACCAAAATTGTCATTTGACCCCTTAAGGAGTTATTGCCCTTTAAGGACAATTTTACACAATTTGTTTATCATGTTTTCTAACTTTAAAAAAAAATCTCCTCTGAAACTACTGAACCAAATTAAACCAAACTTAAGCTGAATGATTCTTAGGTTATCTAGAATAAAGTTTGTGTTTTATTTTCTGTTTCCTCAGAAAAGATGGCCGCCATGGCTACAAATAGAAAATAGGGTAAAATGCAGTTTTTATACGCCCGTCAAATTTTTGACGGGACGTATTATGTTATACAAATGTCCGGCGTCCGGCCATCTGTCTGTCCGTCCGTCTGTCTGTCCATCTGTCTGTCCGGCGTAAACATGTCGCACCGTAACTTGAGAATGACTTATCCAAATTTCATGAAACTTATAATAGTTGTTTCTTATGATGGTCAAAGATCTGTATACTTTTTGGTGAAAATAAGATTAAAACTTTTTGAGTTACGGGACTTAGTAACTAAAACAGGTGTGTGTTTTCTTTCACATGTCGCGCCGTATCTCAAAAACAATTTATGATTATTGCTTAAAACTTTACACTTCTTAGTTATATTAATCTTAAGATCTGTATACTTTTTGGTGATGATTCAAAATTTTATTTTAGAGATATTGAGTATTTTGTTAAAAAAGGGGGAGGGGTTTTTCACATGTCGCGCCGTATCTCAAAAACAGTTTATGATTATTGCTTAAAACTTTACACACTTCTTAGTTATATTAACCTTAAGATCTGCATACTTTTTGGTGATGATTCAAAATTTTATTTTTGAGTTATTGAGTATTTTGTAAAAAAAGGGGGAGGGGTTTTTCACATGTCGCGCCGTATCTCAAAAACGATTTATGATTATTGCTTAAAATTTTACACACTTCTTAGTTATGTTAATCTAAAGATCTGTATACTTTTTGGTTTTGATTCAAAATTTTATTTTTGAGATATTGATTTTTTTTTTTTAAAAGTGGGGTTTTCACATGTCGTGCCGTATCTCAAAAACGATTTATGATTATTGCTTAAAATTTTACACACTTCTTAGTTATATTAATCTAAAGATCTGTATACTTTTTGGTTTTGATTCAAAATTATATTTTAGAGATATTGAGTTTTTGTTTAAAAAAAAAGGGGGGTTTTCGCATGTCACGCCGTATGTCAGAAACTATTTTTGCTTATTGCATAAAAATTCACACACAAGACGACGGGCGTATCATGCGCTCATGGCGCAGCTGTTTATTGATTTATATCTCAAAAACTAAAGCATTTAGAGCAAATCAGACAAGAAGTTATAGTATTCAATAGGTCAAGGCCTACCTGTTCTGAAATTATCATCCAATCACGTATCTGATTTTTAGGTTATTGCCCCTTAATTGACAATTTTAAGGAAATTTTGCAGTTTTTATATGACTGCAAAAAAATTTTTGGGATCGTATAATGGTATGATGTCGTCGTCGTCCGAAGACACATTGGTTTCCGGACAATAACTTTAGTTTAAGTGAATGGATCTCTATGAAATTTTTTAAGAAGGTTCAATACCACAAAAGGAAGGTTGGGATTGATTTTTGGGATGATGGTCCCAACCGTTTAGGAATTAGGGGCCCAAAACAAGCATTTTTCTAGTTTCAGGATAATAACTTGTGTATAAGTATTTCGATTGCTCTGAAATTGTATCACAATGTTAAATACCACAAATAGAAGGTTGGGATTTATTTTAGGGGTTATGGGGCTAACAGTTTAGGAATTAAGGGCCAAAAAGAGGCCAAAAACAAGTATTTTTCTAGTTTCCAGACAATAATTTGTGTGTAAGTGTATGGATCTCTCTGACATTGTACCACGAGGTTCCATATAACAAAGGGAAGGCCGTGATTGAGTTTGGGGTTAATTGCCCAAACATGTAGGAAAAAGGGGCCTAAAAACAAGCATTTTTCTAGTTTCCAGACAATAACTTGTGTTTAAGTGTATGGATCTCTCTGAAATTGTACTACAATGTTCCATACTACAAGGGAAAGGCTGGGATTGAGTTTTGGGGTTATTGCTCCAAGGGGGGTTTCAAAAAGTTGGAGGGGGGGGGTTCCAATTTTTTTAAGGGATTCATATTTTTTTTTCAAAATTTTTCAAATTTGGGCTGAATTAGTTTCAGAGTATCTAGTATAAATTTTGTATTTTATTTCCTTGTACGTCAAGAAACATAGCCACTAATACTATGGCTAAAATGGAACATAGGGGTAAAATGCATTTTTTTGCTTTTGAAGAAAATATGACAGATACAAAGAACATTTAAATGGCATCATTTTTAAGCCACTCATTAATATATATTGAAAAGCAAAAATAATCATTGATGAAAGATTTAAGCAAAAAATTACAGGTGAGCGATTCAGGCTCTTAAGAGCCTCTGTATTTTGTACCATACTTTAAAAAAAAAAATTAATTTTCAAAAGACCGACATGAATCTTTCACCTCAAAAATCTGTAAATCAACATATTAAAAACTGGGCCAAACATACTAAAATTAGATATACTATTGATATGAAAACCAAATTTTAAAATTATGAGTGACATATTACAATCTGTATGAGAGAAACTAAAATGAATCTGCTTTTAGGTGGGGCAACACTTTCCCAATGTCAACTAGAGGCGGAATAGTGCAGAAACCAGTGATTAGACTACAAAAATCTGGACCCCAGTTTACTATCGGTCCCAAAAGGTCTATAGTAGGAGGAACAACCAGTGGACATGCTCCATTACAGAGAAACAGTTCATTGAATCCGGATATGTTCACACAGTCATTCTTATTAGAAGTAAGTTTTGCTCATAAGTGTCTAATAAGCAATAAAAACATGATAATTTGATTCTGAAGCCCCATTCATGTCATTGAAGTTGTTGTCCACTAGCAATGTTCTATACTCCTGCTGGTGGACTATCAGTCCCAGAGGGTATCATCACCTTAGTAGTTAGTTCTTCTGTACTGACATGATTTATAACAAATCTTTCTTAAATTGTCCATTTAAGAATTTGGAAATTATTAAGAAACTAGGATTTCAACTCCCTCAGGCAAAGATGACCTTAGATGGATTTGGCTATTATTTTTATTCCTTTTTGGTTATACAGCTCTTCAATTGTTTCGTTTCTTATACATCCTTGGCTTTTAAATATTTGGCTTTGAGCGTTCCAGATGAAGGTAAAGGAGAAAAGTGCTTCAGATGTATGCAATTATAGTGTTATTTTCAATTTTTAGTTATTATTCATTTTATTTTGGGAGATAAACCTCACATAGTCCAGACAACTTTTTTTTAGATGACATTGTATTAATTTAACTAAAATGCAGCATATGGGTAAACATTAATTTATGGAAAAATGGTGTATGAATGTTTATGAGTTATTTTATTAATTAATCAGCATAGAAAAAATGTCACTACTTTAATGTTTTCAGTGAGCCTTCAATAATCACTTTTACAAAATAAACATTTAAAAACATTTTAAATTTAAAACTCCTGAAATGTAAAAGTGAAATTGTTTTTAAGAGAAAAGCATTAAGGACTGATCCATAAAAACCTACATGAGACCCAGGGATGGCACATTGAAATCTCCAACTAAAGATGGTTGTCATGTACATTGAAAATATAAATGAAATTCCAAATTTGCCTCTTGGTGGTTACCCCATTTTAAAGTGCCTTCCCTACTTTGGATTCATTATAAAACCTTGTATAAAATAAGACAGGGTAGGTCTTTCAAGTTTGTCATTGCAATTTTTATGCCCCTGCCGTAGCATCCGTCTGTACGTACGTCCCAAAGTTGGTTTCTGTTCTCTAACTTTAGTTTGCCTCAACCAAATGTTATGAAACTTATACAAAATGCTGATAACCACAAAACACAGATCAAGTTTGAATTTGGTGGCATCACTTTAACCGTTCTAGAGTTATGCCCCTTTACAAGTGGAAAAATTGCTGAATTTTTCGTTTCCATTCTCTAACTTTAGTTTGCCTCAACCAAATGTTATGAAACTTATACACAATGCTTATAACCACAAAATACAGATCAAGTTTGAATTTTGGTGGTGTCACTTTAAACGATCTAGAGTTATGCCCCTTTACAAATGGAAAAATTGCTGAATTTTTCGTTTCCGTTCTTTAACTTAAGTTTGCCTCAACCAAATGTTATTAAACTTATACACAATACTGATTACCACAAAACTCAGATCAAGTACAAATTTGGGTAGCGTCACTTTAACCATTCTTCAGTTATGTCCCTTTATAACTTTATATGATATGCAAGCGGGGGCATCATCTGTGTCCCATGGACACGTTCCCCATTTATTTTTTTTACAGTTTACATTCAAATGAAACAACATTTGACAAAAATACAGTGTGCAATATTGCATTTCAAAGGAGTTACAGGCCTTGTAATTAGACAGAAGGAAATGGGGAGATTTTGCAACAAATACCAAATTTTATATTTATATGGGTTAATCATGGCCTTCCTGGAATTTTATAACTGTTGTAAATCAATAGTCTGAACACATGCTATGCTTTTGAATACATTTATACCAGTTTTTATACGCCCGTTTACGGGACGTTTTATGGTATACCTCTGTCCGTCCGTCATCAACATGTCGAACATTTACTCAAAAACGCTTTAACCAATTTGCATGAAACTTTGGTGAATTGTTTATATCTATTGACGTGAGCTCCCTTTCGCTTTTTATAAGTTTTAGATTTTACGTTTCCGTGTTATGGGGTTTTATTCATTAAAAAAAGAGGGATTTTCCAGTTTTCAGACAATAACTCAAGAATGCTTTCACCAACTTTCAAGAAATTGTGGTGAATTGTTTATATCTATTGACATGAGCTCCCTTTCGATTTTTATATATTTTAGATTTTAAGTTTCTGAGTTACAGGGTTTTATTCATAAAAAAGGGGAATTTTCCAGTTTTCGGACAAAAAATCAAAAATGCTTTCAGCAGTTAGTATGAAACCTTGGTGAATTGTTTATATCTATTGATGTAAGCTCCGTTTAGAATTTTATAAATTTTACATTTTGAGTTTCTGAGTTATGGGGTTTTATTCATTAAAAAAGGGGGGATTTTCCAGTTTTCGGACAATAACTCATAAATGCTGTCAGCAATTCTCATGAAACTTTGGTGAATTGTTTATATCTATTGATGTAAGCTCCCTTTACATTTTCATAAATTTCTAATATGACATTGAGAATTAATTTAACTTTATTTGTTTATAGTCTGACAACAGATTTACTAAGTATTGCACAACAGCAAGAAATCTTTAATTGAATATAAATTCAATTCATATAACCAAATTCAAGTTCTTTGACTACATTTATTCAGAAACCTATAATATGTCAAATATTTAATACAATCCAAATTCAGACCTGTATCAAGCTTGAATATTGTGTCCATTTTTGCCCCACCTGTTCAAGGTTGGACCATCTGCGGGCGTATCCAGCTGCGCTCAGCGAAGCAGTTTATTGACAATTATTTATTCCTACTTTTTTACAGCATGGAAAAACTCCTGTTACAAGAACTTATTCAGCCCCATTAAGATCAGCAGCTAGTTATGGACTTACCATGTCAAGTAAGTAATACGCAAGTGTTTCCAAAAATAGAAATATTCTACAACTACTCAGTATTTGTCTAAATTTTGTTTACAAGCTAAGATAAAATTTTATGAATTTAAAGAATACTAGAATATAATGATACAGATGTAGATGAAGAAGAATGAATTCTAATCCTAGTTTCCTATTTTCTTAAATCCAAACTTCTATGAATTAAATTGTTGTTTGGCACATAGAAAGATATTACTGCATATAATGTGTTCCTAACATCAACTACTAGTCTGTCAGAGATAAATGAAATTTTGCTACTGCAATATCCCATTAAAAGCACTAAGTATTTTCTTATGCACCCTGAAAGAAATAAATATCAAAGCACACAACAGCCCTAAGATATTCTTTATTTTGTAGATTTCGAACAATCATCAACAGACACTGCAGAGAATTATGCTCAGTTGGACTCGCTGTGTCTTAGTGTGACTGAACATGCCTTAGGCAGTTTAGGTATTTAAAATGTTATAATAGTGTTTAAAACAAACTAATGTTTCGCAGTTAGCAAAAAAACTGAATTTAGATCATCACAAATATGTCAAACTTGGATCTTCCATTAAATAAATACACCAACAAAGTTAGGAAATCTCTAAGAATTAGGCTAAATGTGAAAATAAGCTGTATACAGTACTGTAGTTATTTTTGTGGCACATAGAAAAACCAGGAAAAAGTATGCTTCAAAAGTCAGTATTTATGATAAAAAGACCATAGAATATTAAAAATGCTATTTTATTAATAAAATAGATAAAGGGAGGATGTATTGAATTTAAAGAAACAATCAGGGTTTTTAATAAGCACCAGCACCTGGCGAAATTTCCCCGTTTCAAATTAAGGAAATAGCCGGTTCAAATAGTGTTTCCAAATAAAATAAAGTAAATAAAACTAGGCTATTGTTGCGTAAAACAAGTTGTTATCGATTGAACTGACTCTTGTCTTTGCTTGCGCTTTGGTTAGGTGTTCTCATCGAGGTCCGCGCTATAATTTACTTATAGATTCTTGACAATGTTACAACGATGGATAAGGAACGAGACATACGAAATGATTTTTAATGCGATCATTTATGGGCTTTGAAAACATATTAGTAAAGCGCCCTTTTGTCACAGAGAGAAAACACATGTTGATCCAAGATGACAAGTAAACAATCAAAAAGAAAATCACGGTTGCTTGATTTCTTTACAGCCGCCAAAAAGAAAAAAAGAAGCAGGTGAAAACAGAATCACATTTTATGCAATTTACGCATGAATATTGATAGTTGTTGTGACTGACAATTCTTTAATAATGATCATAATAATTTTCGAATCCATTCAACACTGATATGGTTGTCAAGTATATATAATTATTGATGCGGAGCTCAATGAGAACACACAATATGTCAGTGTAACAACTGATTGATGTACATGTAGTATTGTTTATCCTGTTTCCTGTTTCCAGTTTCTGTTAATTTTATAGTCTAACCTACTCTGAAAATTTCGATTATAAAAAAAAAAAAAATCACAGAAATTTCATATAGGTTGGCCTGCAATTTTTTGTTTGTTCATGTTATTTTTTTCAATTAGTTATTAATAAAGAATGATTCTAGGAAAAATACTGCCTTAATTTCTTCATGGTTAGGATCGATTATTTGTGTGTGTTTTGACTGGTAACTTTTATGATCCAGGTTTTTGAGGTTGTTTCTTGTTTTCTCAACCTGATTGCATTGATTTCTTGGTAATGGTTGATTATGACCCATCAACTGCTTTCTTACCTTTTGAAAATATCTGGCAATATGATTGATTACAATAAAGATCATTATTGATATCAAAAATATTTTTATTTGATAAGCAATATTATAAAAATTACTAATAAGATTAACTTTACTAAAAAAAGAGATACTATTCCTATGAAACCTCATTTTTAATGCAGAGTCTGAAAATGCCTCTGAGTGCACCATTTTTAATGTAAGTCCCAAAACTTTTTTAGGGGTGCAAGCCACCCATCTTCTATCAGCTGCTTCAAATTAGTAAACAGCCTGTTCACTTCAAACTTATTGAAAACTCTCATCTGTCTTCTATCAGCTGGTCAAATTAGTAAACAGCCTGTTTACTTCAAACTTATTGAACAATATTAATTGGATGCATTTACAGTAATTCAGACTGTATACATGTACATCACGAAAGGAGATTAAGAGCAAATAAATCTTGGTGATATTTCATAGTGAATGTTTGAAATTTTTATGCCCCACCTATGATAGTAGAGGGGCATTATGTTTTTCTGTCTGTACGTCTGTTCATTCGTCCGTCTGTCCTGCTTCAGGTTAAAGTTTTTGGTCAAGGTAGTTTTTGATGAAGTTGGAAGTCCAATCAACCTGAAACTTAGTACATATGTTCCCTATGATATGATCTTTCGGATTTTAATGCCAAATTAGAGTTTTGACCCCAATTTCACGGTCCACTGAACATAGAAAATGATAGTGCGAGAGGGGCATCCGTGTACTATGAACACATTCTTGTTCAAAGGGCATTTCAGTGGTTTTGGATGATCTACATTAAAATATATCTTTTTGTTTCATCGATATTATATGGAAAGATCTTAGATGAGTGTTATCACCATAATGACCAGGCTTTACTATTTTTACCTTGATTCACTCTGACAATATAAGCAGGAGATTAGGATTGGACTGAAAACATATTTTGGATTGACAAATTTCAAACTGTCAGTTGAATTTTATCATGAGAAAACATTTTTTTTTTTCTCTCAAGAACTCAGAAACATATTACTCATATTAGATGTTTTAAAGTTATATCAGGTTGAATGTATTCATGTATAAATAAGTTTAAAATATAATATTAAACGCCTTTTTAAAAGAATTTATTGGTGTATAAACTGGACCAAGTCACTCACAAACAATTCACTCACAAACAAATAAAAGTCTGAAGGACTTTTAAGAAATGTTTGTGAGTGACTTGGTTCAGATTATACACCAATAAATTCCTTTAAAAATGTGTTTAATCCTCATAATTCTTCAAAATTGGAGATAAGGAATTTAATTTCCTCACTCATAAACTCTATCACACGTAAATTGTATATGTGTGTCATTGAATTGGCCTGGCGCATGAATATATTTTTTGGTTAATGCAAAATATGTACTCCATGAAATTTGTTATCATTCAAATGAATATTTTGTGCTTATTATTTTATCTAATGATGAATGCGAAGTGAAAATAAATATTTTTAACGTTGAGCTGGTTTGTGTTATTATTGCCACCATCTTGTTTATTACATTGGTTACAAAAAGTAGTTCCGTCAACATCTATCAAAAAAAAATATATCTTCAAGAGCCACTGCCAGAAGCCCTCTCGACCAATCATATAAACGTATTCTCTAATATGCAAATCATATAAGAATTATTTAACCATGTTTTACAGATATGAATGACAGATGATGGTGTGGAATGGCAATCTTTTAGCAGGGTAAAACAGGCCAGTGTTGAAAAGCTCCAGCTCAAACAGTGGTTATAGACACCTGGTGCTTGCCATATTTGATCACTTTGTGATGTGTATATATATCATTGCTGGATAAACACAGTTTTAAAGTTATTTTAACTGTTGTTAAACAACTTGTTATAATATTATTATGGCCTGAAATGTTTAAGATGTGAATGTTGCCAAAAATTCAACATATATATATGTCCCTTTTGTAAGGTTGTATTGTGTAGAAAATTGTCATTGATCTCATGTGCCTTCCAAGTGAAACCAGTCTTTGTTAGAAAATCAAAATATGCATTGTTTACAAAACTGTCTATTTTTACATTTCTTACTTTTTATCATTCTGCTTTATTGGTGCAAAACTAAATCATGATTAAAAAAAAATGTGCTTTATACATTGCTCAACCATGAACTTATGTTTGTAACGGCATTTTGCAGTGTCAATTTAGTCACATATTAAACCATGTTGTGCCATTTTTTGTTCAGTAAGGTCATTGAAGTGTATGAAATTAGTAATAATTAAGTGAGGTTGGGTTCATGTTTTGAGAAACACTAGAAAAATATGTACCAGCTTCTCACGAGACAGTGCCATGTTATTAGATAGAGAGAAGACTCTTTTATATGTCATTACGATAAAACATGTCAGGAAACTATATGTAGGTCTGATTTACGTGTAGATAATTATCAGGATTTTGCACTATGTGCCCATGTATTTAGTAGTAGATGTATAAAAAAATATAATTACTACAGATGATAGATGTACAGTAGTGGACGTAATAGTCCTCTGAGAGGATTGTCCAATTATTTTCTTTAAGTTATATTTATGTTCATGATTTATGTTTATAGAAACCCTACAAAGCATTAAAAAGCAAATGTTCAGTGCGCTAAAGTGTAAATGGGTTCTGATGGAAACTTCTTTCTCTGTTTTTGACAATTTATAGTTCTAAAAAGCTATTCATATTTATTTAATGCACTCCTTTTGATTTATAAATTAAATATTTTATGTATGAAAATATTATTTGGGTCACATGACGAGGGAAAACATGAAGAAAAAAGGTATTTTTTGTTTATTATCTTTTCAAAAACATTTGTAATAATTCGTAGAAAAAAATTCTATTAAAACACAAAAGAAGAAGAAATAAATGTCATGCTTTTTGTAGGGTTACAAAATGAACCTCATCTCTGTTATAAAGGGTACTTTTACAAAACATATATAAACTATGATAATTTATTGAACTGCTGGATCAGTTTATATAATCAAGGCAGCTTTGTATATGTGTGCCTTGATGGAATGTTTGTAATGCCGTACCAATCAAATTCATTATTTCTGGTACATATATTTCTCAAAGAAATCATTGTATGAATCATTTGAATGTAAGTATTATATATATACAATTTTTTGTGACAATTTATACACCAGTAGTATAGGTGAAGCACAATTGATTCTGATGTCGTTATCGTGGCATCACAGATGCTTTATATACCTCATTGATGGCTTTTGTTATTGTATATCACCACAGCAGTATTCTCTTGTCTTGAATTTGTATATTATTCTAGAATTCTCTTTATATAAGAAAATCTTTAATGACAATAGAGGTAAGAGTTCCTATGACACATATGTGGTATCCGGGGATGGCACTCTGAAAATTATGCATTAGTACATTTGAGCGATTTGACATTTCTCATGCATTTTTTTTTAAAAGAGGTACTATTCATCATAAATTAAAACAATTGAAATCCATCCCTGTGTGCTATGTATCTGAAAAGAGAACAGCATCAACTGTCTTTGAAAAACCAAAGTAATTGATCAGAAGCAATATAATTATTGTTATTTAATTAAAATTAATAGTCGTCTCTGTTTCAAAAAAATTTTTCGAAGGAAAAGTAAATGAGAATGGAATCATGAGTTTTGTTTTAAGGGTGTATATTTTTTTTTATGTATTTGTTTGTATAGTTTTGTTCATTAATTAAAAAAAGACTTTACCATTGCAGTTTTTAAAAGGGATTTTTTTTTAAAGTTGGAACTTTCTTTAAGTACAGACCTACATCTAAGATGGGAAATATAAAAATTATTTGTTTAATATATTTGGTACATGACCTTACTAGTAAGAAAAATACATCTTTTCTGTTTAAGTTCTGCCTAATTACTTGCTTGGTTTTTTTTGGGGGGGGGGTCACAAATTCTTCTATGGCCTTTTGTTTTGTTATATTATTTGAACGAAATTTATCATCCTGGTTCCTGTTGAACAGACTTGTATTTTTACAAAACTCAAAGGTTGTAGTAATTAAGTGTTCAATTATTTATAGTGTCCTCATTATATAGGACTTAACAGTAGTCCTGTGAGAGTGAATGAAATTTGTGTAGTTTTGAAAGATTTCTTAATATTTTTTAGTGCTAAGATTGTTGCAGATTTCAATGAAATTGAAGCATTAGGCCATGTTTAATTACTTTTTAGATTTTTGGAGGCTTCAATTTTTTATTTTGTGTTGATTTTCACTACTGGTAATTGCTAGGAACATTATATTTGAAAATGTAAAGTATGTGTTTGAAGACAAAATTCTGGTGCGTGTGAATCTAAATCAATTTTATGTGGCCTTACTTTATAGATTATTATTATATGGCAACATTATTTCACATCACAAGAAATAAAAAGCAGTTGTATCATATTTTATTAAGTGTGTATTCACATTTTAAAAATCCAAACAGGTTTTCAGTCTGTACCTGTACAATATTTATAAAAATCAAGTCTTGTATACCAATAATATTGATGTATTTGGCAGGTTCTTTATTTTTATATCTGTTTACAATAATATTGATGGTAATATGCATGCAGTTCAGAAATCATGGTAGTAGATTTAAGATTGTAAAAGACTTATTTATTATTATCCCTATATACAATCACTTATAGGCTCTATAGTGGATTTAGTTGCACACTAGATCAGCGATCTAGATTTACTGGAACTTGCAAAATTCAAAGCATGCACCAATTTATTTACATTACAAATCTCTTTGTCAAATTTAACTATCAGAATATAGTATTTTATATGATAAAATCTTTTTACAACAGTGTTATACTATAGAAATATTTTACAATGTATCAAGACTACTTTTACCCTGTTAATGCAGGTAGTTTTCATCTGATGCCTGAGGCTTCTTGTACAAATGTTTTGTTACATTTTTCTCTTGTTATATTTATCAGTTTATTTCTGCATCTTTAATAGAGTATGATGGAACTTAAATTTGAAAATATGTTCAATATAATAACAATGTGCAATATCTTAATCATTGCACCATTCAGTGTTGGGTTTCAAGTTTTTTTGTGTGAAAAGATTAAAAACAACATGCTTTTAAAAATGAAAAAGAAGGGATATTAGATATCAATTTATAGGACAGAAATCCCTACACCCACTTGGTAAAAACCGAGAGCAAACTGCCTTCATTAGTGTTCTTACTCTCAATGTTTAAATGAGGCCAAGATCAAGACAGGCACTAGCTATGCTAGATGTTGATAGGTTTATACCTAAAATATTTATCATAGTTTGGGCTCAGATTTTATCAATTGACTAAATAAAGGATATACTCGTTTAACTTTGTTGTAACTTCCTCACAACTATCATAATTTTGCAATATTGATCTCTTGGCATCCATATTTCACAGTGCTTAATTTGTAATATGTAATATGAATTTGTTGTGTTTGTTCATAAGGTTCTGGATAAAAATAGTTTCGACAGTGCCAAATAGTAATTTTTCCAAAAAAATGTTTAGCAACTGAAAATTTTAAAGTTGTAAAATTTTTCATAGCTCAATGCTGTATTTTACCTGGTTCCCAGATGTGTGAACTATAAAGGTGCACTTAACCAAAGGGCAGGGCTGAGGGTATTTGCAAGCTTAATGTTTTTATCATAGACTAATAGAGATGCAGAAATTATGTTTGTTGAATCTCTTTATTGTTAATCATGTTTAGACGTTTAGACAATTTGTTCGTTAAGAGTTGAATATGATAATTGTTTTCAGCATCTGAAACCAAACTTATTTTTTTCTTCAATTATTTTTGGCTTGAAATGATATGGTAACAATTTAAATATCACTTATTATCTTGTCAACAGTTTCAAATTAATGATATAAAAATTAAGCAAAATGTTTATGTTTTGATATTGGAAAAATTGTGATCCTATTAAGAAAGCAGTTTTCTTGTGTGATTATTGTCAAGTTTTAATCCCTCCATAATATACTACTATGACACATATCTTCCTGTACTCAGTATAGAAATCATTGCTCTTCTTTTTGTCAGACACCTTTTTGTGAGTATGGGAACAAACATTGCTTTTGTTAACAAAATGAATTTAATGTTGCTAAATCAAATAAACAAGATTTTCATCTGCATTGTTAAGATATCTGTGTATTTTGTAACTTGAAGATTACTATTCTGAGTACTAAAGAGTATGTTGCAAAATGACCTATTCTGTCAATTTAATTAAAGACTAGCAAACAAGCGAAGAAAAGATACAAAATCAGAAGCATTAATTTTTCATTCAAATTAAAATGTAAAAACGTTCACCTAATGTGTAAAGGAAATACAAGGGATCTGCTTGAGTGTCAATTACAGAGAAATTTACAAGTGTGTAGATATATATGTAGCCAATGTGATATTAAATTGTTTTGTAAAATCAAGTAACTTTTTACATAAATCTTGATAGTAGTCATGATTGTCACATTAGAATTTACATGCAAAACATCAAACTTATTTTGGTATTTGAGGGAAATAAATGATTGAAAACATGTTTTTGTAATTTATTTCCACTTTCATTTGGTTTTCCAATAGTCAAAAGCTTATCAGTTACAACAACAAATTGTGCTTATATCTCTACAAAAATATTGACAAAAACAGACATATAATACTGTTGGACAATACATTCAAGCAGTGGATATGTGAACAGATAACATTCAACTCCTTATAATAGGCAGCAGTTATGGACAAATAGTTCATGCAAAGTCATCTGGCTGTATTGAAAATCAATGAAATGATTGATTGATTGGTGTTTTATACCACTTTCAGCACACTTGGCTATATAATGGTGGATAGTTTTTATTGGTGGAGGAAACTTGAGTACCTTGAAAGAATCACTGACCTCTAGCAGGAAAACAATATAGATCAGAATCAGAAATACCTTGCCCGTGAGTTATCTGTGAGATTCAAATAATATATCGCCCATTTTCTCATTATGTCCGTAGTGGAGGGGGCATAAGTTTTATCCTTGTCCGTCTGTACTTATGAAACTTATACACAATGCTAATTTCCACTAAATACAGATCAAGTTTGAATTTTGGTGGCGTCACTTTTACCGTTCTAGAGTTATGCTCCTTTACAAATGGAAAAATTGCTAAATTTTTCGTTTCCGTTCTCTAAAGTTTGCCTCAACCAAATGTTATGACAATTGGAGTATCTTTCTTTGTGCATAATGGTAGTTGAATCAACTATAACCAATGCTTTATACAATGCAATATTCAATTTTACTTCCTACTGATAAATTAAAGCAATCTTTACCATTCAGTGCTTACAAGCACTTTGATTACCGTTCTAGGGTTATGCCCCTTTACAAATGAAAAAAATTGCTGAATTTTTCGTTTCCGTTCTCTAACTTGAGTTTGTCTTAACTAAATGTAATTTCTAAAAATATCAATGTCATTATTCAAGTAATTTTTATACGACCGCAAACAAATTTTGCGGTCGTATATTGGTATGTCGTTGTCCGAAGACACATTGGTTTTCACACTCCTAACTTTAGTTTAAGTGAATGGATCTCTAGGAAATTTTACTATAAGGTTCAATACCACAAAAGGAAGGTGGGGATTGATTTTGGGGATTATGGTACCAACAGTTAAGGAAAAAGGGGCCAAAAATAAGCATTTTTGTAACTTCCAGACATAACTTGTGTTAGTGTATGGATCTCTCTGACATTGTACCACAAGGTTCCATATCACAAAGAGAATGCTGGGATTGATTTTGGGGGTAATTGCCTCCAAATTTTAGGAATTAGGGGCCAAAAAGGGAAAAAAAACAAGCATTTTTCTAGTTTCATGACAATAACTTGTGTGTAAGTGTATGGATCTTTATGAAATTGTAGTATAAGGTTCCATATCACAAAGGGAAAGCTGGGTTTGAGTTTGGGGGTAATTGCCCTAAACGTTTAGAAATTTGGGGCCAAAAAACAAGCATTTTTCTAGTTTCCAGACAAAAACTTGTGTTCATGTATGGGTCTCGCTGAAATTGTACTGCAAGGTACCATGCCACAAAGGGAAGGCTGGGATTGAGTTTGGGGGTGATGAATCATAAGGGGGTTCAAAAAATTTGGGAGTGTTTTTTTTTTTTCCTTTTTTTTCTATAAAATTTTCCATTTTAAATTGGTTATTTCTGATTTATATATAAAAGCAAATAATAATGATATGGTTTGAATACGTAAATTAAAATTTTTTAAGTTCTTAGACCACATTCATTCTGTGTCAGAAACCTATGCTGTGTCAAATATTTAATTACAATCCAAATTCAGTGCTGTATCAAGCTTGAATGTTGTGTCCATACTTGCCCAAACTGTTCAGGGTTCGACCTCTGCGGTCGTATCAAGCTGTGCCCAGCGGAGCATTTTATTAAAATTGGAGTTATCTTCCTTTGTCCATGATTATAGTTGAATCATCTACAATCAATGCTTTATACAATGCAATGTTTAATTTTGCCTTCCACTGATAAAACACAGATCAAGTTGAATTTGGGTAGTGTCACTTTAACCATTATTGAGTTATGCCCCTTTATAAATCGAAAGATTGCAAAATTTTTAGTTTCCATTCTGTAACTTAAGTTTGCCCCAACCAAACATTATGAAACCTACACACAATATTCATTACCTCAAAACTAAGATAATGTACAATTTTTTTGTTTCCGTTCTCTATCTTTAGTTTGCCTCAACCAAATGTTATGAAACTTATTACTTATGCTTATTACTACATAATACAGATTAAGTACGAAATTTGGTGGCGTCACTTTTACCATTCTTGAGTTATGTCCCTTTATAAACATAAAAATTGCTGAATTTTTCGTTTCTGTTCTCTAACTTTAGTTTGTCTCAACCAAATGTTATAAAACTTATACACAACCGTTCTAGAGTTATGCGTGTTTACAAACAGAATAAAATGCTCCGCAGGGCGCAGCTTGATACGACCGCAGAGGTCGAACCCTGAACAGTTGGGGCAAGTATGGACACAACATTCAAGCTTGATACAGCTTTGCATTTGGATTGTGATTAAATATTTGACACAGCATAAATTTCTGACACAGAATGAATGTGGTCTAAGAACTTAAAAATTTTAAATTGGACATTCACCTATTATGGTCCAATATCCAAAATCTAAATACATGGTTAGATTCAGCATATCAAAGAACCCCAAGAATTCAATTTTTGATGAAATCAAACAAAGTTTAATTTTGGACCCTTTTGACCTCAATGTGGACAAAGTTGATAACGGGGCCCAAAAATCAAAAATCTAAATACATGGTTAGATTCAGCATATCAAAGAACCCCATATATTTAATTTTTGTTGAAATCAAACAAAGTTTAATTTTGGACCCAGATTTGGACCAACTTGAAAACTGGGCCCATAATCAAAAATCTAAATACATGTTTAGATTCAGCATATCAAAGAACCCTAAGAATTCAATTTTTGTTAAAATCAAACTAAGTTTAATTTTGGACCCTTTGGACCTTAATGTAGACCAATTTGAAAACGGAACCAAAAAATTAAGAATCTAAATACACGGTTAGATTCGGCATATCAAAGAACCCCAATAATTCAATTTTTGATGAAATCAAACAAAGTTTAATTTTGGACCCTTTTGACCTCAATGTGGACCAATTTAAAAACGGGGCCCAAAATCCAAAAACTAAATACACGGTTAGATTCAGCATATTAAAAAACCCCAAGAATTCAAGAATAAAACCCCATTGAAATTGGTCAAGAAATAAGCAATTTATACGAAGTATCTTCTTTTGCACAATACTGTGCAATTAAATATTTCTTGCTATTGCGAAATACTGTACAATTGACAATTTCTTGCTATTGCGCAATATTGTGCTATTGGATATTTCTTGCTATTGCGCAATACTGTGCAATTGAAGATTTCTTGCTATTGCGCAATACTGTGCAATTGAAGATTTCTTGCTATTGTGCAATACTGTGCAATTGAAAATTTCTTGCTATTGCACAATACTTATTATATAATAATTTACACATCCTGTTTGGTGTGTATCTCCTACAATATCATTATTATTTGCTTTTAAATATAAATCAGAAATAACCAACTTAAAATGGAAAATTTTAAAAGAAAAAACAAGGAAAAAAAGAAAAAAAAAGGAAAAAAAAAAAATCCCCCCCCCAAATTTTTTGAACCCCCTTATGATTCATCACCCCCAAACTCAATCCCAGCCTTCCCTTTGTGGTATGGTACCTTGCAGTACAATTTCAGAGAGATCCATACACTTGAACACAAGTTATTGTCTGGAAACTAGAAAAATGCTTATTTTTGGCCCCTTTTTGGCCCCCAATTCCTAAACGTTTCGGCAATTACCCCCAAACTCAATTCCAGCTTTTCCTTTGTGATATGGAACCTTGTAGTACAATTTCATAAAGATCCATACACTTACACACAAGTTATTGTCATGAAACTAGAAAAATGCTTGTTTTTTGCCCCTTTTTTTGCCCCTAATTCCTAAAATTTTGAGGCAATTACCCCCAAAATCAATCCCAGCATTCCTTTTGTGATATGGAACCTTGTGGTACAATGTCAGAGATATCCATACTCTAACACACAAGTTATGTCTGGAAGTTACAAAAATGCTTATTTTTGTGCCCTTTTCGGCCCCTAATTCCTTTACTGTTGGTACCATAACCCCCAAAATCAATCCCAACCTTCCTTTTGTGGTATTGAACCTTGTGGTAAAATTTCATAGAGATCCATGCACTTAAACTAAAGTTAGAGTGCGAAAACCAATGTGTCTTCGGACGACGCCAGATGACGACGACGACGACGACGCCAACGTCATACCAATATACGACCACAAAAATTTTTTTGCAGTCGTATAAAAATTGCTGAATTTTTAGTTTCTGTTCTCTTTTTAAGTTAGCCTCAACCAAATGTTATGAGACTTACACACAATGTTTATTACCACAAAACTCGGATCAAGTTCAAATTTGGGTAGCGTCACTTTTACCATTCTTCAGTTATGTCCCTTTATAACTATATGATATGCAAGCGGGGGCATCATCTGTGTCCACATGTGGACACTATCCACATTTATTTCTATATTATTTTATAAAAGTAGAACCCTATACTGTAAAAATATTATTGAGAAAAGGAAGGCCTGATTTCTGTTTAAACTATGTAATTGTATAAAGAATTGCACTACATTTTTGTACCTTATGAATTGCGGTGTCAGACCATTTTGATATATAATGGGAGAAAACTCTTAATTTTTATTAAAATTAGATTATGATTTGTCTCCCATTTGTTACTCCTTACATTCTTTGAACTTTATAAATGTTATTCATATTTTGTCTTTTTATTTTGATTATGATAAATTATTCTGCTTTGTTATCAATGGTTGAATATTCCAGTCCCTGCAAGTGTTCTTGATCTGAAAATAATACCGGTACTTATATTTTATGTATACTTTAAATCTGGGTTATTTTTAATATATGGGCATTATTCTGTGATTTTCACCAAAATGATA